AAATCACTTTTTAAACCATATATGCTCTATTTTTTCTCCATTTTCTTAACTGCCAACAGTCCTGGTTTTGGCCACGACTGCTCTGTCTTTACTAACCTACCTAGCTACCATTGTGGGAATGTTGGCAGCTTGTGGCAACAGCGGGAAGCCAAGGAATAGTTTCAACTCCTGCTCTCTGCTGGAGTTTACTCTCTCACTGATTGGATAAGCAGGAGTCTATTAGCTCAGCTAAACTTCTGGGCCCCATTGAACCAAATCAGAACACTCATTATATCAAAGTGCCAACTCTGCTATACTGAAGGTCGAGCAGCATTTTCTGTTTAAAGATCAACTCTAAAATCTGCATGCTTACTCAGCTTGTCTTGAAAATTTCTGTGCCTCATGGGGATGCTAGGTAGTGTTAGTGGTCCAAATTTGGGGTCATTTCAGCAAGGGGTTCTTGAGATACAGCCCTCCAAAAAAGCCAGCATTTTACAAAATCAACAGGTTCTTTTTATTTCTTTTTTTCCACATACCATGGCTCTACTTGTCCCCCCACTGATCTCATTCACTTGACATTTTATCTCAGCTGGTCCATGGTACCCACTGCCCCTTTGGAAAAGCAATACTGACAAAAGTGACAGAGTCCTATGGCACCTTATAGACTAACAGACGTATTGTAGCATAAGCTTTCATGGGTGAATACTCACTTCATCAGATGCATGTAGTGGCAACTGATGAAGTGAGTATTCACCCACGAAAGCTTATGCTCCAATACGTCTGTTAGTCTATAAGGTGCCACAGGACTCTTTGCTGCTTTTACAGATCCAGACTAACACAGCTACCCCTCTGATACTTAATGCTGACAAAGTTAATATGGAAGAGTTTAGCTGTCTAGAACAGTATGTGCTAAAACTTGCAAGCCAGAGATTGAAACGCGCATGTGCAGCAAGCCTATGTATGAGGGTGTGTCGGCAATCCATTGTCACAGTAATTTAGTGGCTCCAGGGGACATAGTACAGATATCATTGAAGCTGAGCTACACACATACACTATAAATTCAAACCCTACCCTTGGCAGAAGCCTGAGAAAAGGCATGAGATACTACCAGGCAACCTTTACTTAGTGTTAATAAATTGCTTTGTGACTCTAACACTCCATCTCTGCCTCAGCCAGAATAGGCAAAGTGAAAGCAGGCCTCAGAGAGGGGGGAGGTAAGACTCTTGAACAGCTTAATATTGGCCTACCAAGTTAGAGGAGTCACATTCTGGTAAATTAGGAAACCAAGGTAGTGGGGAGAGGGAAGAGATAGAGATGGAGGAGATACAAGGGAAAAATGTGAATGTACAGGAAGGATTCTGGTGGAGGACTTTTTGGCCCCTAGATACCCAAGCTTATTTAGAAAAAATATTCCTCAGCTTTACATGGAAAGGTTTTTTAAATGTTGGCATTTACACATTCATTCCTCTAAAACTGGGTGTTAAAATAGATTAATCAGTTTCGCTTTTGCTTGTAGATAGTTTCACTTCCGATCTTGTATATTAGGACAGTGCTACAGACAGTTCATGGGAAATGGGGAAAAAATAAGAAATGTTTCTATTAATATTTGATTTTGAAAAGGTCTTCCCTTCCTAAAAAACAAAAACCTAACTTGTGGGCAAAGGTTACCCTTACCAGGAGACAGCCTCCCTGTAATCTGATCGACACGAGATCAATTTACACTGGGTGACATTTGGAAGCTTCTTTGTAACCACAAAGACAAGAAACTGTTTTGTTTTTTGTTTTTAAATAGAAATGTTAATTGTGTAGAAACTGATGTAAGCTGCCCTGTCTGTTTTGTTTCTATTACTTTGGAGTAGTCCTTCTCCAGGCTTAAGAGTAAAGAGCCTAACACACATGCACTCTTGACTATTAGTCCCTGGAAGTACCCGGTGCCGCTGCACAGAGTGAGCAATGTATTCTTTTACTTGAAGGGACTTTTTTTTTAAGGCAGTGGCAGAATATCATCTTCCAAAAGAAGTGGAAACAGGATAAACATATTGAACTCCAAACAAATAAGAATAAAGCACAGGGGGTATTACTAATACAGTCTTCCCCCTATGTTTTCATCCGCACACAATCACTTCTTTTTTAGTCAACATTTTATTCATTTACCCCATTATTATTTACTATTTTTATCTTTTTTCAATTCTGAAATCATTTTATAGCAGATATTTTACTTAACATATATTGCCTTAAATAATAATTTATCCAAGTAACAGAGACTTTGACATTTGTTGAGACCAGATAAAAAATCTCAAATTGTTACACTGTATCTACATGCAAACCTCCTTTAGATGTTTTACTAAAACTCCAGATCTGTTCTTTTTGTAACAGCTTCCATTTCCCTAAGTCTTCAAAATATATCTGTCACACTGGAGAATATACTAACTGCAATGTGCAGAATTTTAAATTCAAACTGAATCTGAAAACTGATCATACATACAGTGGCTTTACTATCAACATTTTTTGGTATAGTTTTGTAAATCAAGCTTAGCTGTTATTTTTATTAAACTACTAAAGCAGAAAATAGGGACTGAAAAATCATAAGTTAAATGTATTTTACTCCCGTTCTAACAAACTATCTTAAGAATATTTATATAAAAAACAAAGTAGTTTCACTTTTGTAAAGGCAAAGATGCAAGCCACCTTTTTACCTATAAAAATCATCCATGTTCATTAAACAAAGTTTAGAGCCATTTTTTGATCTTACTATTAATATTCATTTATGACAAGTAAACTGCAGTATTCAAAACAGAATTCTTAATAAAACATTTAGACGTACCTCTCCATCGTCCGACATTAATGTTCCTGGAACGATTCAACTTTCACTTTCGTGATGCCTTGCGTCACTAAAAGCTATGGGGTATTTCCCAAAGCTGTTTTCAATAAAAGATTGGGGGTATTTCCCAATGGATGTTTTGAATATAACATCAGATGTTTATGAATAAAAAGCAGTCACAGAATCAGTTGCTCCCCTATTCTATATGACACACAAGAGAAAATGGGTAAAGAAATAAGATTTGGCAGCCTCGTAGAGGGAGGGGAGCAGGGGTGAAAGCTCACTGAGCAAAACACATAACTTGGGGCTTTGCTCGAAGTGAGGCGGCATGGCCAGCTCAAGGGGGAAGCTCACGTGGCATCACGGTCTCCTGGAAAGGGACCTAAAGACCACAGTAGTGTCATGGTGGTTAATGTTAGAAGTTCCATGGAAGGATTTGGACCCATACACTGCAGATTCTCTACCGGCATGCAGACCTGGATTTTCCCAGAGAAATCTGGCCTGTATAGCCACTGCTCCTGCAAATCCAGCATCTCCGCTTCAGTGAAAGAATGATGCAGCAGTGATGGGGTATTTCATAAATGCAGACTGGTATGTAAGTACTAAAATAATTATAGCTCTACATTTTCTCTTTCTGTGGCAGTGGCTAATCCTGCCTTTAACCGTTTGCAGATAATCAACTGCAACTTGGTCTTTGTGGCACTGTTCGACTTAACCATGCCAAAGAATCAAGCTTAATGGAAATGAGAGATTAGTTATTCTGGGGGGGAAATGGCACTGTCATTATCTTTAGGATATGTGACTATCATGATAAAAAGTACGACCAGTCCCAGAACTTGAGTGTATTTTTAAATAAAAAGTATCCAAATATAATAAGAGTAGGGTGGTATGCTATGCTCTATAAGGACCTGTATACACTAGTAAAACACTACGTCTACATCTACATTACAGCCACCATAGGGGCACCACTACAGCGCTGCAGCTGTAGCACCATAGTGCAGACGTTTCCTATAGCGATGCAAAGCGCGTTTCTGTTGATGTGGTTAATTCATCTCTCCAAGGGCTTGCCTACACTTACATTGCTCCAGTAGTGCTGTTGTAGCACGTAGTAAAGATGCTACCTAGGCCAACAAAAGAGCTTCTCCCATCAGCATAGGTCTTCCATCTCCCAGAGAGGTGGTAACTATGTAGATGGGGGGAGCTCTCCCATACACATAGGGCTGCCCACACTGGGAATTAGGTCGGTATAACTATGTCGCTCAGGGGTGTGAATGTCCCACACCCCTGAGCGACATAGTTATAAGCAGTGTAGACCTGGGCCAAGAGGCAATACCTACATCCATGGAAGAATTCACCGGGCGCTAAGTCAACCTATGGCGCTCAGAGAAAGACATTTTTCACAGCCCTGAGCCACATAAGTCGATCTGGTTTTTAAGCATGTCTAGATCTCAGGTTTGCCGCTCGCTCCCCGCGCAGTTTAAAGGGCTGCAGAACAAGGCAGGGAGGGTTAAACACTATGTCATCTAGCCCTCTCCCCACCTCTAACCTAACCAGGCCTGTCCGCCTAACACCGGCTGTCGCAGCGCTAAAGCCACTCGGGGGCGGGGGCGAGCCATGGGCCCGGCCTCTGCTAGTGCAGACGAGCTCCCAGCCCAGCTGCCGCCTTTGGCCTCAGCGGCGGCTGCTTCTCAGTGGCCGGTGCCGCGATCCCCATGCAGGGTCGGGGGGTCACGGGGAGAATCACTCCCGGAGCAGGGAGGGGGGAATGTGCGTGTGGAGGGGGCACCGGGCAACACCGCGCCTGCGTCCCCCGACACAGTAGGCGGCAGAGGCAATTGGGGGCGGGGACAGTTGAGGAAGGGGAGGGGGCGGGGCCCGGCTGCGCCAGCGCGTGGCTGAGTCTCTCCCAGGGGCGGGAAGGCCCCGCCCCCACCCGCTGGGGGCTCGCTCACCTGTGTAGCTGCCGCTGCTCGGCGGGCTCCCGGCCGTTTGTTTACGTCGCGTTCGCAAGGTCAGCGGGAGGCGGGGCAGCCGGCTCCCTACGGAAGCCCGGAAGCGGCGAAGGGTGCGGGGAACGAATCTCACGTGTGCAGGAAACGTGAAGGCTGGCGCCGGCGCCGCCACCATCTTAGCCTCGTATTCCCGCGCGCCCCTAGGGGGCGCCATCCGCCCGGGCCCTAGGGGGGAGCTAGTGAGGTGACCGGCCGCGGGCCCCGGCCCCGCCGTGGTAAGAAAGAGGCGGGGCGGGAACGGGAGACACCTCCCCGCCCCCGGTCACTGTAAATGGGGCTGGATTTGAACATCTAGATGTAGCTGTCTCCGTTTTACACGTCGAGGTAAGGGCTTGACGTGGGAGAGGGTGGCAGCGAGGGAAACTGCTACCAGCAAAGAGAGAGCCTGGGAAAGAACCATGTCTCGTTTTCTTACGTGCCCTGCTTTGCCAAGGTTTCCTCCCGCTGTGTCTCCTCTCTTCCTTCTCTTCACAGGGCCCATCTGCACGTGTAGGAGCCCAGATACCCCGGGGGATCCTCTCTCTGTCCTTGTCTGCATGCATGGGGGACGTTGACACCAGCATTAGCTATTCCAGGATCCTTATTATGGTGTAATTGAGCTACTCCAGAATAGCTATCCTGGTCAATTTCCCTGTGTAGACAAACCCTGTTTAGGCAGAACTGTGAATGTAACCAGGATAGCTGAGACTACATCCTGCAACCTTTTAAATGTGAATCCCACAGGTAGCACAGTCCAGTGAATAGGGCACTGAACTGCGATTCAGGAGCTCTGGCTCTTCCACTGACCTCCCCTGTGACCTCGGGCAAATTGCCTCAGTCTCCTGACCTGTAGGATAGTGATATTTACCTGTTTTTTAAGAAACAGGTCTATGGCTGAAAAATGCTATGCAAGAGCTAAGGCTATGAATACACTAGGAATGCTTCACTGTTATAGGAATACTGGTATACTATCCTGGCAAAGCATTCCTAGTGTGGACACAGCTATACTGCCAACCCACTACAAGTCCTGCCCAGGTAATGGTATGGTACGGAGGACAGTGATGGTCATGGTAGTGTGTAATTACGAGTGCAGATTTGGGATTGTGGAGGGGCACAGAGAAAATGGCAGGAGTTGTTAGGATGGGGTAAAATACTATTATGTTCCCAGCTGTTTCTGTTATCTTCATGGGCAAGTGAGCAGCCTGTGGTGCACAGCTGCAGCTATGAGTCTCCTGAGGTGGCAGCATGAGCTCTGACAACCAGCTGCAAATGTTCCAGACTCAACACTGCTCCACCAAGCATAGGAAGGCTCAGTGGAAGTTTATGAACGAGTAGTGATTTGAAGTTGAGGTGGGCACAAAGAAAATGGAAGGTTTTTTATATGCCTTTCCTGCCCTAAAGAGGGCAGTGTGGCTGTGTTGCTGCTAAGCAAACTTAACCTCTCTTCCATTTTTTGCATGTGAATTTTCTCTGACTTTGAGATAGTGGCAGTAGTGAGGGAGGAATGGGGATCACCTATGGAGGGGATGAGGGAGTTCATGGACATTTCACTGCACACCATTCATTTCTCCCTTTATGTCTCTTATAGGGTTTGGAGTGACCACGGGGAAGTCAAGGGCTGTGAGGAGCACAAATACTATCTGGAAGCAGTGTTGAGTCCCTAACCCACATCAGTACCAGTGCAGGGAGAAGGGGCTCTGCAGATGGTAGAGAATCTCAGAGCCCCTTCCCTGATTGCAGAGAAGTGGAGGGGGAAGTGGCATGGGTCTTCCCTTCCCCCACAGATGCTGCAGCTGCAGGGAGAAAGGAGAGGCTGAGTCCTAGTCTACACTTAAAACTTAGACTGGCATGGCTATGTCATTCAGGGACAAGAAAAAACACCCCCCTAACCCCTGGCGACATAGGTATGCTGACAACCCCGCCAGTGTAGGCACAACTGTGTTAACAGAAGTGTCTTTCTGTCAACATAGATAATGTCCTTTGGGGAGGTGGTGTTCCTATACTGAAAACTCCTGTCGGCGTATGCTGCATCTGCACTAGGGTGCTATGTCATTATAGCTGTGGCAGTATAGGCTCAGGGCATGTCTTTGCTACAGCAGCTGTGCTCTGCTGCTGTAACACCATAGTGTAGATGCTTCCTACATCCTTGGAAGGGTTTTTTCTGGTGGTGGTAATCCATCTCTTCAAGAGGAGCTTGCTAGGTCAACAGAAGAATCCTAAATAAAATAAAATAAATAAATAAATCCTAGCCATGTCTACACTGGGAGTTAGGTCAAGCTACCTATGGTGCTCAGGGCATGACATTTTTCACAGTCCTGAGTGATGTAGCTAGGTTGATCTAATTTTCAAGTGTGGACCAGGCATCAGAATATCTTCCCCTTTCAGAGAGACCTCAGCTGGTTTGCAGCTGCATATGTGCACTGTAGGAAAACCTTAAGCCTTGTCTACAAATCAAGTTGTATAACTTTAGCTATGCTGGTAAAACCTGTGTGTGGACACAGTTATATCAGTATAAAGATATAATGAAGGTATATTGTATCATAGAAATGCAGGCTTGGAAGGGACATTGTGAGATGATCAAATCCCAGCCCCCTGTGCTGAGGCAGGACCAACTATAGTTGAACCATCCCTGACAGGTGTTTGGCAGTCTGAAGGACAATGTTGTGTCCATAGCAGCCTTCGCAAGTCTTGAAGCCCTTCTGGATGGTGCTGATGGCTCCTCCATTCACTGACCAGTCTGTGATCCTAGCCACAAGGCAGCTGGCATACAGTTTGTATATGGTGGAATAGAGAGAGATGGGTTGCTGGGGTTGTCTCGCTTGCCTTTCTTGTAGAGGAACACCATCATGGACTTCTTCCAGAAACTGGAAGTACGGCAGAAGTGTTTGCATTTGATGAAAATAGCAGTTAATACCAGGCAACTAGGGTCTTGTTTTTTCATGAAGCTATAGCAAATGCCATCTTTTCCTGGGGCTGCGTTTTTGGTCTTTTGTAAGTCTGGTCATTACTTCCCACGATGTAATGTCTTGTTCCAGGCCCCCTGCATAGTCAACTCGGGGTAGAGGATGAAGGCACCCTAGACGCATCTTCTGTTGGTGTAGGCTGCGTCTATGTTCTGGGGTTAGGCCAGCATAGCTATGTGGTTCTGTGCATATGGTGCCATATTAGTGTAGATACAGGCCACAGCAATGGAAGAGGTTTGTCCATCACTGTAGGAACTCCAGGATCGCTGTAAGTCGGTTGGCAAAACTATGTCAGACAGATGTGTGGATTTTTCAACCCTCAGAGAGCAATAGCTGTGTGAACCTAAGTTTTAAGTGTAGACCAGGCCTTAGAAATTAACCCATGATCTCTGCCAACAGCCTGATTCAATAGCTCTAAGGTATGAGCCACCAGTTTATCTCAATAGAGTGTTTGCAACTCAAAGAGAATACCTTATTGAGATGAATACAACTTAATATAAAAGCTCTAAGATATATGAACTGTCCATTCAGCTCAAAAGAATATTAAGTACGATATTAAAGTCTCTAGTTGTAATTTGCCCTGACCTAAATTGCAAGGAAGTCTACAAAGATTTAAATTTAAAAGGAGTAAGTATTGCTCTACCTTTAAAATGTATGCTGGCATAGCTATGTCTTCCTCTCAGAGTATGCTGCGTCTATATTTTCTGTGCCTTTTAATTATTGCCTAGTAAAAATAGATTGTCTTCAATTGATCATTGATTAAAAAATTAAAACATTAAAAAATAATAAATTACTGGAGATTTCCTGGCTTCCATTATGTGAGGCTGGCTAATTTAGTGCCCAGTCCAACTACCATTGAAGTCATCGGGTATCCCACCTTTGAATTTAATGGAAGCTGGATAGGCTCTTAAAGCCGAGGGCAAAAACCTCACACAGTTATCAGCATTTAATATCTGTGTTTACCATCCCTAACTGTAAACTGACTGGAGAACTAGGCCAAAAATCATCCCAAAGCATATTGCGCAGTTAAGATGATCCTTTTAAAAGTTCGGAGCAACTAATTCTGCGTAGTGTTCATTAATATTTGTAGACCAGTTTTAATATAAAAGTGGTATCATATTATTATGGTTATTAGGAAACTATATTTCCTTGAAGTTTGTCTCATAGAGCAGGTGCCCCACTTACTCAGATCTTATTTTAAGACTTGTCTAGAGGGGAAGTTGCCTGGCAACTGGTATTCCCCTATAGCTATGCCAGTCCCTGTGTGGACACTCTATTCCAGAATCAGTGTGACTTTATTCTAGAATAATTATGGTATAAAGTCACTTTTATTCCAGAATAGGGTGTCCACATGTGGGATTTATACTGGCATAGCTATAAAAGCTCTAAGATATATGACATTAATATTCTGCTAAATAAGTACCAATCAATTTCCCTGTACAGATAAGTCCTTTAGTAGCTTTGACTGTGTAACAAGTCAAATGGAAAGTTTACATCTCAGGACCAAATCTAATATTGAAGCACATAATAGCTTATTTTGGAAGGTGAAGAATGTTTTTACTAGCACAGAATATCAAAGAATGAGAAGTGATAAATGGGAAAGATATTCTAAGTTTTCTAGTCCATCCCCTGGCCACTGTAAAATAATTCCCCATAGTGCTCAGTATTTCCTAGGGCTTTGCTCATTCCATCTTGGAATGACCCAAAAAATTGTTTCTCCACATGACCCTTGGAAGTACATACTGTACATCTGATTTATCTTGTATGTTTGTTAGCTAGCACCAATTCTTTGATTGAAAACCACATCACAACTTGACTAATTCATCTTACTATGGCAGCAACAACACCACCACAAGGAACAGGTGTGTTTCTAATTCACAGCTGGAAGAAACAATTAACAGCATGTGGGATTTATGAATAGGAAAAGCATTTGGATATTTGCTGTATTTAATGCCATTAAGGACAGCAACAGAAATAGGATCTGATGGTTTTATTCACTGTTTTAGGATACACACAGGAAAATCAATCATAAATAACTTGTGGAAGTAAATGAATAATAAAACCACATGTTAACTAGAATGTATTAATCACCCTGGCTACTGTTGTTCTAAAACCTGCTTCATTTGTTGCTTGTTCAGACGGCTAATTGATTTTTGCAGTACTGAAGTCCAATCTAGTTGTTTCATCAGCAATTTTTGTAAGTGCTAATCTTTTTCAAATGATTTGTAATCTCACTATGATAGAATTCTTGTCCCTCAAAAATCAGTAGTTTGGATTTAGAAAAAAAAAGAAATCAATGCAAAATGAGTTAACATTAGTTCCTATATTTGAAGGTACAAAAATGAGTATGGATAATCCTGATGATGCTCTAGGTATAAAAAT